ACGGTGCATAATTGAGTCACCAAAAAAATTGCATATTACCAAATTAAATGGAATATTATAAAATTGTTACATCTTTGTAGTAAAATAAATGTTAATTATTATGTGTAACAAATTCCTTCCGTTTTGTATCACAATAGACAAATAAATCATTATTTTTTACAAAAGCACTTGCATTGATTCAATTTTGCTCCTCACTGTATACCATATACGCTATAGACGTAAAAGAAAAAATTCTTTGATTTGAATATTTGATTTAAATTGCTTTTTGAAATTAAATAGAAAAATTTATTTGATTTTAAAAAATGATGTTTAAATTAAAGAAATGATGAGCATCATTTCTTTGAATGGAATATAATTTTTATAAATATAATTTTTATAAATTAAAAAATTTATATGATTTAAAGAAATTATGTTCAAATAAAAAAAATTATGTTCAAATCAAAGAAATTTTTTCTTTAACCGTACGGCAAAGAAACATTTCTTTGAATCGAAAAATTTCTCTAAGTGCGTTTAGTATACATTCAAATATTCAGGCGTCCTTACCTTTTTGAGACATCCTGTATAAACACACATAAACATATATAAATGTTCATAAGCACATATAATTACATATGAAATATATCCATATATGTTCTTAATACATCTTTCTTTCTTTTATAAAATTACTTTTTGAACATGCATAGACATATTTCATATATAATTTCATATTTAATTTTATATGTTTATAAATATTTATACATGTACATGTATGTTTACACATGTTTATATTCACCTATGAAAAATTTTTTACTAGGAAATTAAAAATAAATTTTTAAAATTTACAGTAACTCATTTTAAATATACGATAATTTTACATGATTGTGTGTATGTGTGCGTGTGTGCGTGCGTGTGTATTTTAAGTTAAGTGTTTTTACTTTAAGTAAATTTAATTTTATAAGGGGAATACCAGATAATCAGGATCGGGGATTTTGATGCTCTTTTTACAGGCTGCTCTTGAGCGAAACAAAAAACGATACGGACACGAACGTGTCCGGCCGTTTTAGCCATTGGCTCATAGTTCGAAGAAATCGATTTTTTAAATAATTGTAACAATTTGAAAAACGTACTTTATAAATGAAAATATCAGTACCTTTAATTTTATTTTAACTAATGTTATTAGTTTTAATTACTTTTTGAATATGTAATAAAATTACATAATAGTATTGTAGATAATTAAACACTCATTTATGGAATATTATTATCATCGTTATCGTCGTTGTTGTTGATGAACGCATAAATAAGATTGTAATGAAAGCTGTTACAATTTCTGATGAAATTAGAAATTGGAAGTTAGGAACAAATAAGTTATACATTTGTAATCTTCTTTTAATTAACATTAATCGATTTATTAATAATAATAGAAAACTATTGTGTTTTGTAGACGTACATTGTACGGGATGATATAAATCATAAAAACAAGAAAAACATAAATATTTATTGTATTGTGAATATCTTACAAATGAATGTTTGTTGTAGATACAATTACTTTTTCTAATATCTGGCGAAAAGCAGATTTGATTAATATATTATGAAAATAGCTTCTTTCAGGAATCAATTTTGGTGAGAACCGAAATTTTCATTTTAAAATGAAATTCATTCTAAAATTCATTCGTAAGATGTTCACAATGCAATAAATATTTATATTTTTCTTGTTTTTATAATTTATATCATCCCGTACAATATACGTCTACAATATACGTCTAAAACACGATTAGTTTTCTAGTATTATTAATGTTAATCAAAAAGAAAATTATAAACATATGACTTACTTGTTTCTAATCACAATTTCCAATTTCTAATTTCATCAGAAACTGTAACAGTTTTCATTACAATCTTATTTATGCGTTCATGTAAATAACAACAACGACGACGATAATGACAATAATAATAAATATTCCATAAAGTTCCATGAGTATTTAATTATCTATAATACTAATATGTAATTTCATGAAATTTCATTACAATGAAAAAGTAAACCTAATAATATTAAATTAAAATGAAATTTATAAAGATATAGATATTTTTATTTATACGCATATTTTCATTAGTACGTTTTTCAAATTATTACAATAATTATTTAAGAAATCAATTTCTTCAAAACCATGGGCCAAATGGCTGAAACGACCGGACACGTGTCGTCTTTTCGCTCAAAAACAGCCTGTAAAAAGCGCATCAAAATCCCCGACTCCATCACCTGGTGTTCTTCTTGTTAGTATAAATTAATAAAAGCATATTGGCAATTCGTAAAATTTTGCGAAATTTCTTTTTATTGTTTCTTTGATCATTGCTGCCTTGTTAACTAATTTACTTCAACTCATGGCATACAAGACAACGTTGAGTTGTCATGAATTATAAAGGTAGATGATTATGTCTATATTATATTTTTTGATCCTAATGGAATTAAATTAAATTAACTTGAATTAATTAACGAAAGCACAAGTGATTTTCTGCTGGCGCTACTGGCAATACTAAAAGTCACGACAATCTAAAGTAAAATGACATCTAGCGTTATCTATTCTACATAGATCGAAGAGATAAAATGATAAAATTGATAAAATAATTTTAAATTTATCAAAATTATATAAATAGGCAAGCCTATACATTATTATAAACGTATTGAATTAAAAATATATAAAAGATACACACAAATAGTGGAAAACGTCAAAATCTGTCTTCCTCAATCATATAATTTTAACACATTGAGAGGAAAATGTATTAAATTTTAATAAATATTTAGTCGAATAGTGCCAGTTGAAGATCTGTGTTTTATGCTGAACTAGTTTTATGCTTTTGGAATTTAAAATTAAATAAATATGTGCACTGAGAGAAAAATATACTAAATTTTAATAAATAAGTATTTGAATAGTATTAATATAACATTTATTTACGGAAAATAAATATTATTTGTTAAATAAAATCTAATACTAGGTAAATCAAATTAATTATACCTTCCAAAAGCATAAAACTAGTTCAGCATAGAAAACAGATCTACTTCTATCAATATTTGGTAATTTATTATAACATAAAGTTTTACTTTTATTGATATTTTTTATAATTACACTGAATAGGGAATCTTCCTCTATGATCTTCATCTTAACATATGTTGTTAAAGTCATGACCCTAAGTAACTTTCAACAGATTTCAGCCGTCGCTCCTTATTCGTTAAAGATTTATTAAGAGAAAAGTTTTAAAAAATAACGCCTTATTTCTACTGTAGAACAAAAATTCGTTGTTTTAAAATAGATTACCTACTTTAAAAACACAAGTTTTCTTCAAAAACGATATTTCCTTATATAATTTTTGTTTTTATATAGTAACGCATAGAAGCGCATGACTCCCCCTGTTTCTGGGTGTACGACTTTTCATGCGAAGAGACTTCTACTCCATCTTCGAAGTTTTACCCATCGCTTGTTATCTGTTAAAAAATTGTTAACAATCAAAGTTGCTAATTATATTTCTGCTTTGTATAAAAAGTTGGATGACTCTAGGCAGGTGGGAGATTTAAGGTAGATCGACTAGGAAAGTACAACTTTCTGAGGCATGGTCTTCCCCCTTTGCTTAGGGGCACGCAAAGCAAGTGTTATACCACCTTCTCTTTTGCTACGGAACGCACGACTTTCTACACAAAGCGACTTCCACATCACCTTCCTCCTGCTACAGAGCGCATACGAGTTTCCACGCGAAGCGTGAAACAAAGAAAATTTTTGTTTTTAAAGCAAAAAATTTATTTTAAAGCAGAAAATTTTTTTCTATAAAAAGTCAGTTGTTCTATCTTTTGGTAAATTTTACCTGTTAGGTAAGTAGCAAGATTTTACCCAATCACACGCGCGGATTGCCAGATTTATTTCACAAGTAAAATTTACCAAAAGATAGAAACAACCGGCCTATAGTAGAAAAGAGATATTATTCTTTTTAAACTTATTTTTTAAACTTTTCTTCTTATGCCTCTTCTTATGTCTTTCTTGCTTTTAATAACTTTTTAATTAATAACGAACGATGGCTAAAATCTGTTAGAGATACTCAGAATCATGACCTTGACAACATGTATCAAATTCAAAACATCGGAAAAGTGATGAGTAAATGTATTCTAAACGTCAACGATTTTTGCATATTCCTACATTATAGGTGAAAAGTATCCAATAAAATTGAACTTCTTCTTATGGACAGACCCGTATCTTTCATTTTTATTATTATTGCATTGCCGTGAAAACAGAAGGGAAAAACAACATTTTAAGTATGAACGTAACAAATTGCAAAAACAGTGCCGACAAAGTGCGTGTGCATGCGTGCGTGCTGATTTTTAAAAAAAAATACGAGGCCTATATCTTTTAAAATTTATATTCAAAGATACGATAGTGTTTTGACGCTAAGAGAAACGCGTGCAACGATATGATAGCGCGAAACCGACCGTGTATCTTTTGTATATATGAAAATCCATAATGTCCGTGATATACGTATATTATATTACAATATTTTTGTGTGCGATATCTTTCGAGAATAAGGTCATAGGATAATCGTTATTGGAGATATTGTCAAGGGACATTACCTAATCGTTACATGTCGATAAAAATATCCTTTCCGTAAAAAATAATGATATCAATTTTATTAACAATCGTTAATAATTAAAAGATAATATGAAATATAAATTAAAAGTTAATAAAAAATGTGAACAGCGTTAATTAAGTATATAATATTCCTTGTACAAAGAAAATAATGTTATTAAAAAAGATATATTAGAAACGCAAAATTTTTTTACGCTTTATTTTCGAGAAAATCAAAAGTAGAATTAAAAAATTTGTTTTTTTCCTTATGTAGAATTATTATTTCTTTAGCATTTATATCGTTTGTAACGGGCCATCGTGTAACATTATTGACGTTCAATGGAATGATAAAAGGTTTTAGAAAGTTTGGCTTCTGTAGGTACACAGTGTGCAAGAGTATGCGAATTATATAACGCGAACCTTAATCCAGCGCTGCTACCTGCGTTCTCAAACCACGGTAAGCTAGGGTCCGGTTGCGATCCGAGTTGGACTGCGTGACTCTCGACCTTGGAAGGCTCACCGACGCTTCCAGGACTACGTTTCAGCCACACCGCGGTGATCACTGTACCAGTGGACGCGTTGAGCGCGATTACCCTCGCCTCCACAGCGTCATCCACCGACACCAGCAGAGACTTGGTCAAAGCGTCTAAAAGAGCTATGTAATTTCGTTAATATCTTTGGATGTCTCGGGAGTCATGTTCAACAATCACTTTCAATGCACGCATTGCTCGCTACGCGCAACAGGTGCCGCCAATTAAACGACAGATAAAGTAAGGAAACTAGATTGAAAGCACTAATTCCGGATCACATTTGTCATGTTTGTATTTCTTTTTTTTTTTTTTCGTTAAACACTTCTACTTTAAATATTTAATCATATGTCGCATTCTGAGTGAATGAACGTAATCCCTTATGCATCGCATCTACAATATATGTATGCAGAATAAATTTAGTATAAGAAATAAGAATAAGAAATTGACCAATCATAGTAGAATATGGCTGAAGAATAATCAACTGTGATTAATAAGTTTCTTGCTCTTACTTTTTATATCAAGCTTACGGCTCCTAATATTAGACGTGGAAACGGTAGTCAATAAGCTCCTAATATTTTCATTGGTTACTGCGTCGCATTTCGCCGCGTAGCAAACGTTTCTACATCAAATATGCAGAAGCCACATATTGTAGATGACACATTATGGATTGTCTACAATGGCAGTAATATTGTAAGCAATAAGAGATTGATTAATCATAATCGATTATTCTTCTCGCATTTGATTCTGATTGATCCTTACAGTTAACAATTTACAACTTATTACACCATATTACTCTCATTGTAGATCTCTCTCATTGTACGGCACTTTAGTATTTCCTATATCACAACTTATCTAACTTACCATTACGTCGCATCGCTTCAGCAGCCCCGAGATTCCGAAGCACCATAGCGGTCATGTCAGCTTTCTGACGTGCCATATCGTACCGTCTTGGATCCAAAGCGACGTCAGCTGGAAGAGATTTAAATCCCTCCGTAGTGACACAAACTTCGCCCAGAGAACCTGTCGATGCGGCCTCTATCACATCCAAGGCTTCTTCTATAGCCGCCTTCGAAAGAATTGAATAATAGGATGTTCAAAAAAAGGGCGAAGAATTGCATTATCTTGGGCTGCGTTCCATAAATTACCCCTATTGAGCTAGCGATAAATGAATTCTAACATTTCAAAATTAGGTGCTAATTAGGTGCTGAAGTGCGAAATTAGGTACTCGAACCATTTTGCAGAAACAAAATTATTGAGTGGGGAGAGGGGGAGGCTAGCTTAATATTAAGTTAACTCCCCAATAAAAAAAATAAATACTTATTGCGTAAACAAATAAAACAAATACACCAGAATTAAGTGCTAATTAGGTGCTCCAAAAAATAAAATAAATATTTTGAAAATATATTGTATATTATACACGAAATTATTGTATATACAGAAATTAGGCGTCAGTCGAATATTCGGCACAAGAGAGAAGTTACTTTAAAAAATTAGGTGCTCAGACAAATTTGGTATTAAAATGTTTCTTTTTAAATATTATTTAATGACATGATCGTTCAGTTTAGGAAAAATTTGAATCGAAAATTGACCTAGTTTATAAGAGTAAAATGATATTAAAAAATTAAGTGCTCCTACGAATTTAGTGTTAAAATATTTCTCTTTTTATATACAGTTACGATATATAATCGTCAAATCAGATGTTCATTCAATTTAGGAGAAATTTTTACTGAAACATCTACCAGCTCATAAGAGTGAAATTGTGTTAAAAAATTAGCTAACTCCACATTGATGGTTTGTATGTATATATACAAACTTATCAAACAGAATGAGCTTAATTCGTCGATTAGATATAACTTTTTATATCTTAACAGATATAAAAAGAGAAATATTTTAACACTAAATACGTAAGAGCATTTAATTTTTTAATACCATTTTACTTTTGTAAGCTTGTCGCTCGGTCGAAATTTCGGTTCAAGTTTCTCCTAAACAGAGCGCTTATAATTCAGAGATCTGATATCTTTAAATAATATTAAAAAGCAAACATTTTAATATCAAATTTGTTGGAGCACCTAATTTTTTAGATTATCTTCTCTCTTAAGAGTCGATCATCAGCAGACAATGTTTTTTAACATGTTTTTAACATTAATTATTTGTTTAAAATAAAAATTGAAAGAAATGTTTTTTAAACATTTATTTAATTTATAAAATGCTTATTTTACATTATTTATTCATTTAAAATGTGATAAGACACATTTACTTCACGTTTATTTAACGTTTAGTAAATGTTTATTTCACATTAATTATTTGTTTGAAATAATAGTTTAAAGAAACATTTATTTAACGTTTTTTTAAATGTTTATTTGTGATTAATTTCACATTTTATCAGTCGTTTTTAAATTAACATTTTTTAAACATTTATATAACGTTTAAATGTTTGTTTTTTTTTTTATTTATTTGTTTAAAATATTTTATTTATTTAGAAGAACGTTTGTTTAACATTTATCTAATTTATAAATATGTTTATAAATATGTAAAAAATGTTATTTTCTAAAACTCAAATTAATAAAAAACAGGTCAGAATGATAAAATAATCACAGAGGAGAAATTAACACAATGAAATTATGTACCATATATGGACAATAAGAACTGTGTGCATCGATAATTAAGTGGCGTAACGGTTAAGGTACGAGACTCAACTGAATCCAAGGTGAAATTCCAGGTTCAAAATCCGGCCAGTAAATGAAAAAGATTAAAATATAATTAGAAATAATTAATAAAATTAGTTGTCTAAGGTTTAGGCACTGTTGATAAAAAAAATTAAATTTTAAAAACGATTCTACATTATTATTTTTTGTAACTTCGTTTAAATAATTTTAACATTAAAAACCGTTTCTCTATGAAATAGGGAAATGCAGAAGGAGAAAGATGGGAAAAGATAAGGAAAGGAAGTATAATAGATGATATGGATGGATAAAGGGGGAGGGGATTCCAGCATATTTAAGGAAAGGATGGGGAGAGAAAAGATGTAGAAGGATAGCTAGGTTTAGATTAGGGAATGAGAGATGAGGGAAGGAGATATTGGAAAGGAGAGGAAGAAAGGAAGTATAGACTATGTGGGAGTGAGGTGGAATCATGGGAGCATATATGAGAAGAGTGTAGAAGTTGGAGTATAGGGTATGAAGGAGAGCTGGCAGGAAGTTGTAGGTAAAATTTTGGGGGAAGAGGGGGAGGGCGAGGAATGGATGAGAGAGGTGGAGAAAGAAAGGAAAAAAGTGGAGGAGAGAAGGAGTTAATGAATGTGATAAGTAAAGATAGAGGGAGAGAGAGAGAAAGAGAGAGAGAGAGAGAGAGAGAGAGAGAGATGCGTTAAAATAAGTTAAGATAGAATAAATTAGTGTAAGATAGGTTAAGTTAAGATAAGAAAACTTTGTTATTGTTATTGTATATATTTAACTTCAAAGGGATAAAGATAAACTATCAATAAAGATCTAACTAACTAACTAACATTAAAAACCGCTTTTTAACGTTAAAGAAATGTTTCTTCAAACGTTAAATAAACGTTTTTAAACGTTAAAAAATATAAAACTAATTCAAATTGGCTTTTGAAATTAACACAAAATACAAAATAGAATAAAAAACTGGTAATTAAGAGCATTAATACGCGATAATTGGTGCGAATATATAATTATGCGAATAAATAAATATATTTTGATCGTATCTATTGATCTATTATATAAACTATCAAACTGAACATTTCGACTGTATTCAAGTCATCCTCAGCAGTTCTCAATCATAGTAATAATTATTCATAATCTAATGTTCATAACGTAGTAAAAATCGAATGCAGCAAGTAAGTCTCTACACTCGATTTCTGCTACGTTACGAACATTAGATTGTGAACAATTATGCTATGATTGAGAACTGCTGAAGATGGCTTGAATACAGCCGAAATGTTTAGTTTGGTATTTTATGTAATAGATTAATAGATACGATCGAAATATATTTATTTATCATATTTACCAATTACCGCGTATTAATGCTTTTAATTGCCGGTTTATTATTCTATTTTGTATTTGTGTTAAAAAATGTTTTTTAAATGTAAAGAAAACACAATAAATTTAAAAAACAGAAAGTCAAAGGGCTACAAGCCTAAAATCATTATAAAATAAAAAATTTTTAACCGTTAATTAATAAAACATGTCATTTAGTTAAAATATAATCTTTAATTTGTTGGTAACTACTAAACAAAACAAATGTTTCGATTCCTGTTGGATCATTATCCATGTAAACAAAAACGGTAGAAATATTACATAGTTAAGATATACAAAAATCAAAGTTCACTCTCGATCATTAATAATCAAATTCGCTCAATTTAGAATAAATGTTGCAGGAATGTTGCAATCGAAAACCATATATTCCTCTTGATAGTGCATGTAGATTATAAACAAACATAATGTAATGATTTTTTTTTGTATATCTTAACTATGTAATATTTCCATCGTTTTTGTTTACATTGATCCAACAGGGATCGAAACGTTTGTTTTGTTAATTATCAACAAATTAAAGTTTATATTTCAACTAGATGATCTTTATTTATTTATTAACGAGTTTAAAATTTTTATTTTATAACGATTGTTTTAGGCTCGTAACCCTTTGTCTTTCTGTTTTGTAAAGAAAATATCTTTTTAATTAATAAAAAAGGATCTATCTCATTAATTAAATGTTTTTTAAATATCTTAAATGTTTTTTAAAGGTCTTAAACGTTTTTTGCAATGAAAAAAAATCGTTTAAAAAACATTTCAGAAATATTTCTTTGCTGATTGAGGATCGTGCGGCCTATCTTTGAGTTCGAATTTCTGTCAAACGGAACGAGTACCTAATTCGGCGACTTTATATCTTTAAATAATATTAAAAAACGTACATTTGAATACCAAATTTGTTGGAGCACCTAATTTTTTCTCTTGTGAACAGACTATTCGACTGACACCTAAGTTCTGTATATAATTCTGTATATATTATAATATATATTATATTTTGGAAATATTTTAATCATTCCTTGGAGCACCTAATTAGGACTTAATTCTGGTGTATTCACGCAATAAGTATTTAGTTATAAAAGTAATAAGGCTCAATAAATTAAAATAAATAAAAAGACAAAGGGCTATGAGCCTAAAACAATTATCATAAATTAATAAATTTGTATTAAATAGTTAAAAAATAAAATAAAACATGTCACGAATTTAAAAACATGAAATTTAATTTGACCGTCAACAAGTAAATACAAACGTTTCGATCTCTGTTGGGTCATTTTCAATGTGACGCAACAACAATGGAAATGTTACATAGATAAAATATATAAAAATTATTTAAAAATTCGCTCTCAGACGCAATATCAACTATAAATCTCGCTTCAAAATAAAATGAAAATTATACAAAAGTTGTAGTTGACAACAATGTGTTTCTCCGGATTGTGTATGTAGAATAAGGACGAACATGTTTCTTATTATGTGTGTCAAAATGATAAGTTATCTATTAGACAATGTGATGAGAATTGAAAGTGATCATCTCTCTAGGAAGTTAAGAGATAAAATCATAAAGTATTTAGTTTTTTTATTGGGAGGACTAACTTAATGTTAAGCCCTCCCCAATAATTTTTTTCTGCCAAACAGTTCGAGCACAATAATAGACAATAATAGACTTATCAAAGCTCTCGAACATTCCTCGTATTCAGTAGTTGATAGATTTCTAACACGTCAATATGCGGCTTCACGAATTTCTACGCTTGATTGATAATTACGACGAGTTATTTTCTTATTTGTGCGAGAAAGATGTAATTAGACAAAATATTAAGTGTCCGCGATGTAAAATCAGTCTCAATCTATGTACGTGCTCCTTTGCAGGGAGGGGGGGGGATGAGAGTCAAAGGTAAGAGTCGTGCGTCCGGAGGGGGGTGAGAGTCGTGCGCCCCTGAAGCAGGGAAGATGAAAATTGAAAGTGAGAGTCGTACGCCCTTTTGCAGGGGGGAAAGAAGGGGGTGAAAGTCTCATGGAAAATCGTAATATATATTTTAAAATAGAGAATTTTTGTTTCATATAATAGAAAAGAGACTTTATTTTTCAAATTTTTTTTGTTCATAACTTTTAAACGAAGGATGAGCGACAGTTAAATATCTGTTGGAGATCACTCATGGTCATGATCTTGATAACATATGTCAAGGTCAAGGTCATTGGAAAGATGTTTTTCCCTTAAACAGGAGTTTTAACGAATTTATTTATCGCAGTAGGGGGAGGAGTGAAAAATTAGCTTCACAGGGTTTTTTTAAGATATGCTGCTAGTATTGAAAATCTACAATGTATGTGACGTAAACTATAGATTTTCAGTACTGGCAATAAATTTTGTAACAGAACGAATTTGGTAAGAGACAAGTGAGACAACTTGAGGGATGCGCAGTAGAATCAAAATTTAATTGGCTAGCTGATTGCTTTGAATTGTCATCATGAGCATTGTCTCACCTGTCTTCTTCCATCATGATCTTTATATCATAATTAGGCGAAATAAATATCAATGAAGACAAACCCGTTTGGAATCCACAATGTCATTACGTATACTCGTCGATAAAGACGGTGTTGAAAATGAATTGGCCTTTGTTACCGCTATCATTATCATGGTTGTCAACGTGCCAGCAAGAAGGACCGAAAGCCAAGATTCGCCCATTCCGCGCCCTGGTCATTTGTTCTTGTAACAAAATGAAAGCTCCGAGAAGTGTTAATTTATTTAAGAATAATATTTATCGAGGATAAGATAATTTGGTAATATCTCAAGGTAACTTCTCCATTAATATATAAATTGATATATAAATTAAATAAGAAATATTACAGATACCTTGCGGTAATTTTATACAACACCGAAAGTCGATAGCTGAAAGATGATTAGAAGGTTTTTTTGCTTTCGTTACATACTATATTACCAAAATATCTTCACGCAATTATCTCACCTCCCGTGATGACATTCAAGTGGCGGCAAACCCGCAACCTTCGCTTGTAATGGGCCGCTCGTACGCCCTTGCTGGCGATCGTCCGGGCATGTTTCTGCCTGTAAACCTTCAGCACTCTCAATTTTTCATCGGAGAAACTTTGTAAGTGAACACCGTCGCACCTATGTTGAAAAAGAGATAATGCAAAATATAATAGATGTTACTCTTCATCCCATATCTGTGCGTTGCTATCGAAAGCGATCGATCACAATTGATCTCTGAACTAATTAGTGGTACGATGAAACGAAGATACTCTTCTTCTCTTTTTCCTTTCCCTCGCCACAATAAAGTATTTTGCTATTTTAAACCGAGTAGAACATATGCCTTGGACAGTGTTAGGAATATTACTGGCACGGCTATATCATCGGCCCGATCGCTCGATTTCGTCTCGTTTTCTCAGTGTATCATAAAATAGAATAATCAGTGAGATATAGATGAGTTCATTTTCCAGCGACTAACCCGGCCTTTGACAAGCGACACGTGAGGTTTACTCAACCTTGAATAAACCTCAACAATCCCTTTAACCCTTGGCTTCGCTCGCGCCCGCATGGTCATCTCGATTGCATTGCACGATCATATATGTTATACATGAAGGAAGCGTATTATTTTTCCATAGTATTCGAGATTGATTGCGGCAGGAAAAAAGAGAGAGAAAAAGTTCGTTAACATGTGCCCAATTAAAAAGTATACATATTCTACAAAACAAAACTTACGATTGATTAGGAATGTGAAGGGACGCGAAAGTTTCGCTCGCATAATAAGTCAATTTCAAATCTACATGCGACATGTCATCAATTGGCCATCAATTGAATAGTATCGGCACACGACAGCTGATTCTTGAGATATAATGCATGCATTATCGCAATTTATACTACTTTTCTGACGTAATAAAGTTACATTGTCCACCCATTGGAGACGAGCTCTGTATTGTCAGTAGAGAACGATCGATGCAGCTACTGGCATGATACAGCTACCCCCAGAACCTGCATCCCCACTCCACCCCCCTCTCTCTCTCACTCTTTCTTTCTCTATGCGTGTATATGTGTCTCCTTTTAACTTTATTTCACATGATACATCAAACTAAATGCATTTCGAAGTTTAGTTTGCAATCTAGTGTTTATAATTTACATTTATTTTACACTGCTTCTTTATAGCGTTTTGTGCGAATTCATTTTAGTACAATCCATACTGATAATTTTACGTTAGTAAGTTTCAAATCCATTTTAAATGATTGCAATTTATGTCTAAATTTTAAAATAGAATTTTGATTATTATATATATATAATTTTGTATATTTATATATACAAAATATATATACATATTTCATATATTCATTTGCCAAAAATGTGACACATTGTATCAATACAGCGATCTATGTTTTTTGAGAATGTATAATATATTATATACATATGTGTATGTGTGTGTGTGTGTGTGTGTGTGTGTGTGTGTGTGCGCGCGCGCGCGCGCGCGCATGTGTGTAAAATTTTGAAATTCAAAAATTACCGGTTTGTTTGTTATTTTTACCGACTACTATATTGTAATATTCTACAAAAGACACATGACGAACATTACTGATTGTGAGAAACCATACAAAGATCGTGAATTTCATTACTTTGCCTAATTTATCATTGCAAAATATCGAAAAGTACGTCAAAAAATACGTAGAAAAAAACAAATGCGAAAATGTGTGCATACAAAATACGCGTGAATCAAATCACGGCATATCGAAAGAAAAGGTCCACGCACAGTTTTAAAGCTTAATATTTTCAAGAATGTACTTTCTCATCTGCGAGTATAATTTATTAAATAATTCAAAACGGCCGAAAAAGCGAAAATACAACAAAACAACAGAAGCAAGTGACAAAGATGAAAAAATACGGATTGCAGTTACATTGGAAAGCGAATCGTATCCAGCAAGTGGATAATCGCACTTACCTTCAGCATTTAACGCACCTTGTTTTTCTTGTAGTAGGACGCGTGAAGCGGAAGATCCGAAAGAATGATTATTGATGAGTCAGACGAAGTGCATGTGGTTTATCAGTGCGGCGATCCTGATAGCGCGTACGACGATAAAGTCCATAAAGTATGATCAGGGTACATACACAAGTCTACGAAGGTCTTCTTCGAGAAGAGCGAAGTCCGAATGACTAGATTCGCTCGTGACACGGCGAGAACTCAGCTGTATCGCCGGGATCGGTACCGGGGTCGGGGTCGGGGTCGGGGATTAGTTCGTCGTCGGGGCGTGCGCCCTTCGCATGAAATCAAATGTCGTCCTCGCCTTGATACGTTCGTAATATGGCACAGAGGAAAATAACCGATTATATGAAGAGTTAACGCTAAGATGAACTGAGCTCAAGGATGGTTAACTTAGTCAAGAGGATGTCAGATACAGCATTAATCAATACATTAATTTCATTGTCGATCTTCGCTGAGGAGACAATTTGATCGTCCTGCGATCTCCTCTATTCATCTGGCGCGTATTCGCTGTGTGAAACTGTGGACGCACCTCTCGCGCATGTCATCCCCATTGTCGTACTGAAAATAGTACTCAGCGCGGGCGCAACTCTCCCTCCTCCTTCTTTCTCTTTCTCCATCCATCCTCTCTCTTCTTTTTTTGTTTACATAATTATAATTATAATTAAATTATATTATATTATATTATATGCTTTCAATTAATGGTAAATATGTACGCTTTAATTAAACTGTTCTTTTAACGCTTGAAAGCCATTCTAGAGCTTATAATAAATTAAACTCTCTAATCTAGCTGCATCTCTCTCTCTCACCCCCCCCTCTCTCTCTCTCTCTCTCTCTCTCTCTCTCTCTCTCTGTAATGAAATTTGAATCACGCCGCGATGCAGAGACCAAAGACGATCAGCGATCCTTGATTGTTACTCATACTCGATCTTAGACGTATCAATTTGTCGTGGGGTCGAGTGACAAGATTATCGCGGTGAGTATAAAGTAGACAGATTTAGCGTCTCTAAAATAACAGTCTATGATTATGTCATCTGATTTACAAAAAAATGGTTAAAATTTTACGGATAATCGAAAAGTACATGTGCAAAGTGTACTTTCAGGCAAAACGAAATATTGTGCTAAACTTTTCATGGCGGCCGTTAATACCGATGTTAAACTGTCACGATGTAAGAATCAACCGTGGGGTTTTCGACTCTCCGGAGGTGTGGACTTTACTTTTCCTTTGACCATCGTTAGAGTAAGGCACAATTTATTAATGTTTGAATTTTATGACTATAAATACTAAAAACAATACAAATTACTTATGAATATAAATTAGTTAAGCGATTGAAAGTAAAAATAGGCGCAATGACTGCGTCTATTTTTGCTCCCAATCGTCTGTTACTAATTTATATACTCATTTGTTATCTTGACAGCTTAATTTATTTCATTATTTATATACCAAAGAAGTTAAAATTTCTTTATTGGTCAAATTTCAGTTTTTAATCTTCATTCTCAATCTTCAATGCATAATCTGATTTCAGCTTAATCACATTAATTGCAAGAGGCATTTGAGTAATAATTCTCGAATGAAGTGATATTAAAATTATCTATGTTTTTTTTCCATTTTCTTATTAAGCACGTTTGTTTGATAAGGTGACAATCGGAGGCCTAGCCCATATAGCTGGTTTGCAAGCGGGCGATGTAGTGATCTGCGTGAATGGAGAGCCAATAAGTCAACTCACACATATGCAAGTCCACGATAAGCTTGTCAACATCGGCAATGATATTGTTTTATCTGTTGTGCAAAATCACGAGATCGTGCAACAGAAGTAATAATGGTTTCCCCTTGCCGTTGATTTATTTTTTTATGAGCTTGAATCCGATGTTGCGACAATAGTGCGTAAATGAAAGTGAAAAAGAAAAATGCACGTGGTATCACGATTCGAAATGCGATATACTGTAAACGAAATAAATAAAATAAAATTGACAGAAAATATCGACAAGATGAGATTTTAAGCCATATGTGTTTACGTTTATAATACTTTGGCCCGACCTTTCTGGCATGCGTCTGGTATGCATTAAGTCGCGACGATCAAGGCCTTAATCAGATAATGTTGCGAAATTATGTCGGCAATTGATTCACGTGATCGAGCGCAATTAGTCAATTATTGATCGAAAGACACGTCATTTTTAATCGTATTTAAATGATCCACAATTAAATTCTTTCCAATAATGTGTGTGATTAGATAATGCTATCAAGGACGAATGAGGATGAATTCAAGGAAACGCGATAAAACACGTTATGCACATTCATATTATAATTTATTTTTATTGTAATATATTAGATATTGTTTATAGAATACACACACACACAGGGTATCACAATTTTTTGCCAAGCGCTTTCGTGCAGAACGGACTAAACTGACTCGAAAAGTTCTCTACCATTTTGTAATTTTTGCAATATTAATTAATTACTAAGAGATATTAATTACTAAAAATTGTCGAATATTGGTCTTCTATAATTTTTACTCAAATATTATCAACAGAAAATTTTACAGAAAAACAGCAAAAAACGGAAATTGTTTATTTTCTTCTCAGAAGAGCTTTAAGAAATTTTCAAAATTTTTTATCAATTTTTTCATATTGCATTTTCTTATATTGACAACTGTTTTATCCATATGAGCAAATATGGTATTAAAAAATTCTGAAAAATTTTTCAGAACTTTATGAGAAGAAAATAAGTAATTTTTGTCCTTTGCAATTTTTCTGTGAAGTTGATAGAATTTGAATAAAAAATTTTTGAACCAATTTTCGGCAATTTTTAGCAATTAATATATTATTAACTTGCTATTGCGAAAATTGCAAAATGGTAAAGGACTTTCCAGTTTAGTGTCTATATGTTCACAAACTACGTCAGAACAATTATCGTGTCTGAAACATTTTTTTCCTTAGATATTCGAGATGGTAATTAAAATGAGGCTGTGCGTGTGTGTGCGTGTGTGTGTGTGTGCGTGTGTGTGCGTGTGTGCGCGCGCGCGCGCGTGCGTGTGTGCGCGTGTGCGTGCGTGTGCGCGTGTGTGTTGTGTGTGTGTGCGCGTGCGTGTGCGCATGTCTCGTATGCGCGATCGCGTGCGCGTGTATGAGACTGTACACGTATATGACTCGCGCTATAATCATTACCATAATAATTCGACGTAGACATTTCGCAATATAATTTACACAAAAATTACTGTACAATATATGTTAGCTGTTGTCACTCTCTTCTCTTTTGAGCACACATCCGCACCAAATTACATGCACACAAGAAAACTTTATCACACTCGTTACATTTTTCTTTATCCCGTATCTCATCATTCTCATTAGGGAGATGCGAAAATAAAAATTGACATGTAAGTTGAATATAGAGGAGAGTAAGAGAGAGAGAGAGAGAGAGAGAGAGAGAGAGAGAGAGAAAGAAAGAACCGTAAACCTTTTACATTTTACATTTTGTCTTATCTACCTGAAACTTCGTTTATGCTTCTGTTATTCACTTCTTATATTCAACTTACCTTCCGTTTTTTATTTTCGCTAGGGGAGCGTATAGGATCAAGTATATATATCAAGCATAGATATGGATATTTTTAAATTAAAAAAAAAAGAAAAAGTTACTTTAGAGATTACAGAATTGAAGGAACATTTGGTAAATCACAAATTATGATTATAAGTAACGATCACATTGCGATAACTAAATGTCTAGACTGTCTGCGTCTTCTCAGAGCTATAGTACGTGTATCACGCGGAATTGAGTTCTTATTATTCATCTATATGTGCCAGCAATTCCACTTTCCACGTATAATATGATACCAAATGAGGGCTATCCTCTTCCAGGATAACAATCTGATGATATGCATGTTTTTCATTATCAAGTAATAGGCAAATGTCATGTCTGCAATGGTAGGTTTAAGGTATGCTTTATGACGTTAAATATTATTTAATAAAGATTTAAAAAACAGTGGAACACACGAAAAAAAATTTAAATCTTATTATTTGTTCAGGTATGTATAATCTATTTTACTGCGAGGTAAATGGCTTGGCTCCTACACACTGGACGCGAAAACGCTTGCCGCGTGGCAAAATGCGATGAGATAACCAATGAACATGTCAGGAGTTGCAACTATTGCGTCATAATGGGTTGAAAGAACGATCTGCAATATTTTGTTAGCTCAAAATTATGTATACAAATACAATCCCCAGTGAGAAAATTTTGCTTAAATTATTTAATGTTTTGGAACACTTTTCGACAAAATTTCAGCATTTCAAAAAAATTTCAGTTTAATTTCAGGAATCTTTAATTAAAAAATTTTTGAACATAATTTCAGAAAAATTTCAGTAAAAATTTCAAAGAAATTCCAATAAAATTTCAAAGAAATTTCAGAGAAATTTCAATTCAGTTTCAACGATTTTTTTAGTATGTTAGTTGAAAGATACAATTTCAATGAAATTTCAGCAAATTTTCAATAATTCCGTTAAAATGTTCCAAAACGTGGAATAATTTCAGTGAAATTTTTTACCAGAGATATCTTCGTTAAAAATGAAAAATGAAAATTTAAATTTAAAAAAAGTTTTTAAAACCTGAAATATTTATTTTTCAATGGTTACTATATTTTTTCAATTTATGTGAGTTTTATATACAGAGTGCACCATTTTAATTTCCCCAGGCAAATATCTTGAAAAATATGGAAAATATAGAAAAATAAATTAGTATAAAAGCTAATGTGAATCGGCACGGTTAACAGTGCGCAAATTAAATTAAAATTATTACAAAAAAATCTTAGTCACACATAAATAAATTTTAAAATGTATGTTTCGATTCAATTTTGAATCATCATCAGCATGAATCTCTCATGACAATATTAAGAAACTAAATTATTATAATTTTGTGTATCAAATCAAACAGCATTGTTATATCCAATGTTTTTTTTTCTGGTTACAATCGTGAGAGGAACGAGATCCATCCTAATATATTCAACCAACTACTAAGCTCGATGGAAAGGATTGCATGTATCTTAACTATAATTATTACAAAAATTATTGAAGTAATAAGCGTAGTTGATTTTGTTAGTAGTGTACCAATTACCCACTTCCAACTATTGTAACCAAATGAACAGCAAATAATTAAAATTGTGCATTATTTTTTCACAAGTCAATCATTAAAAAATATATATAATATTGTCACAAATAGAATTAAAATTAGAATTTTTGTCAAACGTTGACTAGATGAGTCAACTGAAAATGATACTGAAAATGTACATTATGTTAAAACGTCTCGTATAAGTCATACAAATAAACATCTAAACAGCGCGTACATAAAGTCAGAAATATTAACCAAATCGTTGTACATAAAATAAATAATTGATCAAATTTGAATTAATTCTAAATTTGATGTAAGCCCTCTGTACCCATTTTCCAAATTTAATCCATTTTTTTTACTTGTTATATGTATCATTTCTGAAATAAGTCTTTTAGTGTACATTCTTTCTGCATCCAGAATCTTGACTTCATTCCAATTAAAATCATGATTGTGATGCATCCTAATCTGTAATTTGACAATAACACAAAATGTGTTATTATTCTTCTACGTATATGGTTAAAATGTTTTGATATCCTCATTTTTAATTTCGTTCTAGTTTGTCCAATGTAGGATGCATGACAATCAATTTTATATACAACATTCATTTTATTGGAGTGCGTCGGAGGTCTTTATGTATTTAATAAACTAGCTCAATTTATTCATATTATAAAAAGTTACTTTTTGCATATTGTTAAACATGTTTTTAAATTTAAATTTATGCATTTCGCGGATTTCCGTGTCCAGATTCATTCTTGAAATGCCAACGTTTCGTGAACCTTGCAGTCCAAATCATCAGGGCGAGGCACAGCCTGATCACTGAGCTGTTCCTTCGGGTCGTTTCGGGGGGGGGGAGGGAGGGGAAGAGATGGAGGAAATTGGTCAGTTTTCAATAAGAGAATGGTTCCATATTTTATTTATGTTGTAGCCACTATCTCTATTTAGATTGTTAAGGTGTGTTTGTATCTCTATAGCTTCTTTATATTTTTTTGGAAAGTATGATGTAATATTGGCTATTGTGGTCGTTTTATCAAACAGTATTTGATATCTTGTTTCGATGTTGTGTTCTAATAATGCTGATTGCGTGACGTATTTTAGCCTAATATTACGTTGGTGTTCTTTTATCTGTAGGTTGACCATTCTCCCAGTTTCTCCAATGTATACTTGCCCGCAGGAACAAGATATTTTATTTATACTCCTGCGGAGCTGATTGGAGGTCTTTGATCTTTAGGATTTCTTAAGATTTGTCCTATCTTTTTGGATGATTTAAAGATTATTCGGATATTGTATTTGTTTAATATCCTGTCAATCTGATCTGTTGTTCCTTTGACATATGGGAAAATGGATAAGATCCTTTCGTCTGATTGTGTGTCAGAAATCATTGTCTTGTTTGCATGTTTATTGATTGTTTTGATTATGTCATTTTTGTCGTGTCCGTTTTTCTGTAAGGCTAATTTTATGTGATTGAGTTCTATCTGTAGATGTTCTTTGTCAGACATGGTGAAAGCTCTATGTACAAGTGAAATGATTACAGACTGTTTTTGTACTGAGTGGTACGACTCGGCATAGATATCTATCTGTGTGTGTTGATTTTTTGTACACTTAATGGCCTAAGGTATCGTCAGATTTCTTAGAGACAAGAACATCTAGGAAGAAGAGTTTTCCGTTTTCCTCTATGTCTATAGTGAAGTGGATATTTGAATGTTGATTGTTGAGGAAAATAAAGAATATACGGAGTTCGGCTCTGCCGTGTCTCCATATCACGAATGTGTCGTTTACATAATGGAACCAAACTTTTGGTTTTTTGAGTGTTTTTTTGATTTTAAATTGTTCAGTTTTTAAATTGTTCAGAAACATAAGGGAAGGTAAGCCATTTGTGTTTTGCCTGATTTATGATTTTAGGTATTTACTGTGATTTTTGTTTCTTATTGATTAAACATTTAATTCTCTCTGCCATCGTCTCAAAGATGAATTGTATAGGATAGTCATTAAAAAAATTAATATAGTAGGCTAATGAGAGTCAGCAACGATAAATGATATCCTCTTCTTTAATTGGTACCAAAAATCTTTATCGGGAGATTTTTAAGTTTTTGGTACCGACATCCTATTTCCCCAAAAAGAGACATAATTATAGGATTCACAGACAAAGCGTTTCTTCTATCACATTCAGAGTTTCATCAAGAAAATCTTGAGTTAATAGTACGGATGCTTTTGAATAATGACTATCCTATACAATTCAACTTTGAGACGATGGCAGAGAGAATTAAATGTTTAACCAATAAAGAAAACTTTGAAACAAAAATCATAGGAAACACCTGAAATCATAAATCAAACAAAACACAAGTGGCTTATCTTTCCTTATATTAAAAATATTTTTGAACAACTTAAACTAAAAACGTGTTTAACAATATGCAACAAAAAGTAACTTTTTATAACATAAATAAATTGAGTTAGTTTATTAAAGTACATAAAGACTTCTGCTGGACTCCAATAAAATGAATGTTGTATATAAAATTGATGGTATGGATTGTGATGCATACGTTGTGATCCTACGTTCGACAAACTAGAAGGAAATTAAAAACGAGAATAATCAAACATTTTAAATATATACGTAGAAGTACAATATATATTCTGTCATTATAGATTAGGATACATCACAATCATGATTTTAATTAGAATGAAGTCAAGATTCTGGGTGCAGAAAGAATGTACAGTAAAAAACTTATTTCAGAAATGATACATATAAAAAGTAAAAAAAATGGATTATATTTGAAAATGGATACAGAGGGCTTACATCAAATTTACAATCGATTCAAATTTGATTAATTATTTATGACTTTATGTACAACGATTTGGTTAATTATTTCTGACTTTATGTACGCGCTGTTTAGATGTTTATTTGTATGACTTATACGAGACGTTTTAACATAATGTACATTTTCAATATCATTTTCAATTGACTCGTCATCTAGTCAACGTTTGACGAAAATATTAATTTTAATTCTATTTGTGACAATTTATATATATTTTTTAATGATTGACTTGTGGGAAAATAATGTACAATTTTAATTATTTGCTGTTCATTTGATTACAATAGTTGGAAGTGAGTAATTGGTACACTACTAACAAAATCAACTACGCTTATTACTTCAATAATTTTTGTAATAATTATAGTTAAGATACATGCAATCCTTTCCATCGAGCTTAGTAGCTGGTTGAATATATTAGGATGGATTTCATTCCTCCCACAATTGTGACCAGAAAAAAAAACATTGGATATAACAATGCAGTTTGATTTGATACACAAAATTATAATAATTTAGTTTCTTAATATTGTCATGAGAGATTCATGCTGATGATGGTCCAAAATTGAACCGAAACGTACATTTTAAAATTTATTTATGTGTGATCAAAATTTTTTTGTAATAATTTTAATTTAATTTGCGCACTGTTAACCGTGCCGACTCACATAGCTTTTATACTAATTTATTTTTCTGTATTTTCCATATTTTTCGAGATATTTGCCTGGGGAAATTAAAATGGGACACCCTGTATATAAAACTCACATAAATTGAAAAAATATAGTAACCATTAAAAAGTAAATATTTCAGGTTATAAAAACTTATTTTTTAAATTTAAATTTTGATTTTTCATTTTTAACAAAGTTTCATTTTTAACGAAGATATCCTTGGTAAAAAAATTTCACTGAAATTATTCCACGTTTTGGAATATTTAAACGAAATAAGAATGGAATAGACACCCAGCTAAACGCGCTGGTGTATACACACACACACACACACACACACACACACACACACACACACACACACACACATACACCATATTATTTTAAAAAATCAGACAATTCCGTACAAAAAAAATGGAGATGACCTTCATATCTTTTTAACGCCTCCAGTTAGAAGAAAAACAACATGACCAAAATACGTCTCTCTTGAAATCATGCAACTTTTGTTTGATACTTTTCTATTGTTAAAAACAAGTTATTCAAGTGACCTGTTTTAAATACCTTACCTTGTATAATTTTAAGTTAACAAAATTCCGCAGAACTTTTTCTCTAAATATTTTGCCGTGCGGTAAACGTTTCCGTGTTCAGTGTGCAGGAATCATTAGAGCATAACAAAGATGATGTAAATATTTGTCATTATTGAACATTTATAATTTTTGTATTATCTGATTCTAGCGATACAACAGCTCCACACGAAGATGAAAACGGCTATGAGAAGAAAAGTCCAATCGATTCGAGAAATTCAAAATAATTTTGTAACAGAAAACAAAGTAACTGCGAAGTTAGACATCTAGTCTGCTGCGGTTGATCTATAATTAATTAGTGTCACAGGCGCATTGCTATTTTACTGGCTAACTGATAGTCATGATATATAAATCTCGATATATAAATTTACACTTTGGTATATAAATACATAATCTAATTGCTCATACAGATGCTGTTTCGGTTGTGTTCTTCGACCAACTATCATCGAAAACTATTGTATCATTTTAAAGAATCACGTTCCCATCTTTATTCTCTCTCTATATCGAAGAGATTTGTGTCATAGCAAATATATGTATATATACAATACACTCAGGTACAGTAGTAGCATCTGAAGATTATCATTTAGTATCTAAAAAGATGAACAAATAGGCAGACAAGAGGAAAGAGGATTGAGAAACACAATATATAAAATAACAAAGAGAGAGAGAGAGAGAGAGAGAGAGAGAGAGAGAGAACAAAGATCTTTCTCATCATATTTCGCAAAATCATTAATATTTAGTTTTTTCAATTTGCTATATGTCAAATTTATAGAATAATTTTGATTAAAATATACATTACAATGAGAGGAAGTTGTATATCGTCTATTTGATCAGTAGATATGTAGAAATTGACAGAAACAAATTAATCCAATAAAAATTAATGGATTATCCACTCAAATTCGCGCAGAACATAAGCCGTGATAATTGAGACAAAGAAAATGAATCACGGAAAATGGTCTGTGAGGATAAAAACTACATTCCATATCTCTTTTTCGATCAATTGACGGATGGTCGCTGTGTTTGATACATTGAATTTTTATAGCAATGACATCATCATAACTACTGATCCGCTTGCTCGTTGGTTTCCTCATTGTCGGACGCCGATGTTGATAGTGTCCTATCATGATTCGTGCAGGTCTCCATCTGGCATTTGTTTTCAGCAATTTCCAACCAATGTTGCTTATTTATACTGACTCCGTCAACGAGGGGCACAAGTTTGTCCGACAGATGAGCGAACGCCTGTCCAACATAGATACGAAAAGATGAGTTAAAAGTTTTATAAGAAGGAAGTAGAATATATATTAGGTGTTGGAATTAATTCGTAGCGTTTTTAATGAAAGAATGTTATTTATTTCACATGAGCATTAAAAAATACATTAATGAAAGTACTTCCCATCACTTGTAAAACGCTACGAATTAATTCCAACACCTAATATATATACATCGATTCTAACTCACTGTGTTAGTGCGTACACATATACGATGTGTGTGTGTGTGTGTGGGTGTGTGTGTGTGTGCACGCGCGCGCGTGTGTGTCAGAGAAGGGGAAGTGCCTCACAGATGTTAAGAAAGAGAAACCGCGTCACCAGGATCCATGATAGAGAGGGAAAAGTTCGTTCCTTCTCTCTCTTACCCGTTGCGTTCTCTCTTTAACTATTATCTTCTCTCGCTTACCTATTATAGGATGTAGTTCTCTCTCTTCCACCCGTTGCAATCCTATATTTATTCTTTGCGTTCTCTTTTCCTCTCGTTGTGCTCTCTCCTACATTGTCTTTCCTTCTTACACGTGATTTAATTAAATAGATATGATATTTACAATTTTTAATGATACGAATACTTAGAAACTAATTATGATAATATTTTTACAAATTTTTAATAATATAGTAATATTAATTATGATAATATTTTTTTTAGTAATGTAGTACAAAAATGATCAAGCGCACTTTCTTATTGACTAATTCAATACTACTACAAAGATATGAAGAAAAAGAAGTGGCGGAGATACTAAGGATAAAAGTAAAGAATTTTAAAAGAAAAGAATATATTGTATTTTTTAACATATATTTATTTATCATGTAATGCAGTATGTACAATATAATCTAAATCATAGACTATTAGTTCACATTCTATAATAGAATTTTTATCATAAATTTTGTACAAAATGTTTGCAGCATCGCTTTTATTAATAATACAATTTTGTCTTAAAAATAACACAAAATATTCGAACTTTTTACTAACACCGTGCGTATATTGACTCAGTTCATAGAATACATGCTCAACACATTGCTCCAGTTCAAATAAGAAAAGCACAGTTATTGGTTACATGTACTAACATGTGCATTAATTTAATGTTAACTTTACGTTATTCGTATCACATATTTTAACAAGTTCCACATTTAGATCTTGAATCAATGATGATGATGATGAGATTGTTGACTGTATTAATCGCTCGATATCTATACGTTTCTCGATAAATGCCTTCCACGTAGCATGAGATATAAACATGCGATTGCCTTGATTATCGTCAATCGCAATTTGCATATGAGATATAGATCCCATAACGATCCCAATATCCAACTTATACGCTGTCGATATCAATGCATATTTCCTCATCAAGATACAAAGCATGTAGCGAAGTTTCGAAGATGTACTAGACTGTTTGAGAAAATGCGTTGTAGAAAAAAAGAAAACAAGTAAATGGATCTTACAAAAATACATAACGTATAATACATATAAGCAAATATTTTATACAATAAAATTAAATAAACTTACTGTCTCTTGCACGCCTCATTTTGTTGAATTGGAACGTAATAGTTCATGGCTTGAGATATTTTATTCTCTCGGAGAAACGTATAATTATATATAGCTGTCTGAACTCTATTAAAGCTCTCTGAACGACTGATGCGAACGTTGCTTGAAGCTCTTCTTTTAAACAGTGTTCCCTTCCACATTTTTTTTTACATACCCTAAAATGGAGGGGATTTTTTTATATATTAGGTGTTGGAATTAATTCGTAGCGTTTTACAAGTGATGGGAAGTACTTTCATTAATGTATTTTTTAATGCTCATGTGAAATAAATAACATTCTTTCATTAAAAAACGCTACGAATTAATTCCAACACCTAATACATTATATACTTTGAAGAACATTGCGACATGGTCGAAGGACCAAATTGATACATATCATAAGAATGCACTCTAACAATATCGAATCTTTTTTATCTAAGAAATCGGCGTCAACGACAATAAAGTCTGCCTGCTCCTATTCTCTTTTTAAAAAATAAATTTCGGGGCAGTGTATTTAATATGAAATTTTACTTATCTTTAGAAATATGTGAGTTTATTTTCAGTGTAATTACCATCAAACCTTTGTTAAATTACACAATGACACATATCACAAGAATGCAGTTTGACGATATCAGATTTTCTTTTTATCTTTGGAGATCGACAGTAAAGTTTCTGTTCCCATCTTCTTTTCAAAATTTTTTTTTGCCTACTTTTATGACTGCAATAAAAAATGACCCCTTCGGAAACACATTAAAACTTGTTCAAACATGTTAAAACGTGCAGCAAACCAAATGATGCATCTTTCCATGCTATATAAAACGAAAAAATTATCTTCTCTGAAAACTCATTTTGTCAGTAATCGAGCAACAGTTCAAAATGATAATGTGGATCAAATGGAGCATAATCTCATAGCGCAAGCCGCTTAATTGAATACGCGAGAAGAGTTTTTTGCGTGGGAACAGCGTTACGATAATTTCGAATCGCTGGAGAAACAGAGTCACGCTAAACGTCTGCGATTATCGATTGAAATTAAACAATCGTTGATCGCTCGTATCGCGCGATTCGAAAATTTGAAAGACATGTTGCGTGGAAGTTTTGTGCAAGTGGGTGCCGGATACAGCGCGAGATTGATACGGCGTTCGAATATATTGACCGGTGCTGTCATAAACTCTGAACACATTAAACCTCGCCAGTTCCTCGAAGATGCGAGGGAGATAGTGGTTGAGCATGTGCAAAATGTTATTCAGAGACATGATAATATTAAGATAAACACAGTGTTTAATGGTGAATTTATGTGATGTTAAATGTGCAAATAAAAGTGTGAGCACGAGAAATTATGAACTCTTCCGTTCATCCGATTTACATGAGTAGTACGCGTCGCATGTCGTCGAGCCTGACATCGCTGGAGGAATTCCAGGAACGCGATAGTGGATGGATACTGTTACGTATACTGAATTTAACAGTAAACATAAACAAGTATAATTCTCTGCATGCGGGATGTCACATCGAACTCCCACGAGAAATTAAAATGAAGAGAGTTGTAGTTAATGTGCAACACTTAGGCAACGCGTGTTTCGCGTAATCGGTGATTGCCGCTCTACACCCAACTAAAAAATGAAGTGAGAGTCATCATATCTGCATTACACGACTGTAGTGAATCTTTAAGACTTTTGTGTTCCCAATAACGCTGAATCAAATTAAAAAATTCGAAAATTTTAATGATATCTCCGTCAACGTATATTGCATCGAGGAACAAAAAGAAAAAAAGAGAATTCTTCCGTTACGGTTCACCGATATGAAAAGGAACAAGCACGTTAATTTATTGTACGTGCAGGATTCGCAGGATGATAACACGGGACACTTCGCGTGGATAAAGGATCTGTCCCGTTTCGTGAGCTCACAAATCAATAAATATGGACACAAGAAATACTTTTGTGATTTTGTCGGTATGTATATATTTAATTTAAAATTATGAAAATGTTTTTTTAACCTATTTGAGACAAAAAAAATTATACTTTTTTTTCAGATGCCTGCACCATCCCGAGCGAGGACGACAAGTTAAGTTTCAGCAATCACTGCAGGAAGGAGCGCATCCCATTCGTGATCTACACCGACGTGGAATGCACCCCGGAGAGAGAAAGAACCGAATATGTCAACATATAGGTATCAATATCACATGTTTAGCATCGGATATTACGCGCATTGTTTGTACAACAACTCACAGTCGATATATCGTTTTCGTCGCGATAATTGCGTCGCGTGATTTATTGAGGAATTCAGAAGTTTAGTGCATAGTGTAAATATTATCCTGTCTGCTGTTTCCATGGCAGATTTCTCGCGAGACAATTGGCAAAAATTAGCAGTGCCATGCACTGTCACGTGTGCGAAAAACCATTCGCGCCTGACGACACGGGTACGCGATCATTGCCACTTGATCGGGCAATTTTATTTTTAACACAATATCCTTGTCTATCCAAGAACGTGTATGAATTATTAAATCCTAGCCATTTCACGTAAACCTTTTGTACGCAACATCTTTTTAACTAGATATACGTCGGGATTAGTTATGCGATGCAACTCGTACTCACAGAATCCTCCAGCGACAGGTTTCCTACGGTAATCTTCTAGTAGATACGTCACGGGATTAGTTTTCTGTACTTTGATAATTCTAAATACCTTCGTAGTCCAATTTAGCGTGTAATCTTTCACAAAGATCGTCTTGAATTTGCTCACACGTATCGAGTCACCCACTTTGAATCGCGGGAGTGCGGCCTTTACATTGTTGTACACCATATTTAAGAGTTTGTCAGCGATCGTGGAAGTCACATCGATGGGCCGCATACCAATAATTCGATGTTTTCGTGCGTTATATTCCGATACTAGACGCGATAGCAAGTCGATCCATTTGTAATTTCCATTGTGCGTAAATTGTTTCCACATATCGTTTTTCAACGTACGATTTAACGATTGATGCTTTTATTATGAATATATTGAATAATGATTTATACTGTATTTTTTCAAGAGTATTTGTATTACGTTTGTGTTGTAAAATTCTTTTCCCATATCGGTTTGCAAATTTTTCCGTCGTCTCGAATTATCTTTGCAATCGCTGTAGTCATCTCATTTCCGCTCTTGGTTTTGAGCGGTCCATGCGTGCTTACTCAACATATCAATAACGGTAAAAATGTAATGGTAACCTTTGTTGTGTAAGGACGCATCTCGACCACAGTCTGCCACAGGTCATCGTATCTGTAAACTATGACACGTCTGCGTGGAAAATTTTTTCCCGAAGTGCGCAGTTCTTCCACCAGTAGTCACTTTTCGAGACTTTTCTTCTAAGACATGTTACGTTATATTATGATTATTGCTGTGTAATGCGTAAAATATCACAAAGTTCTTACGCAAACTACTTACGTTGTTCATTGGCATTTCGATGTCAACTAGAAAATGATTATGTATCAAGCTTCACGAAGCTCCTCGATAATAGACAATATTTTGTTATCGTGGGCGTTGTGACCTGCCTGACGCGAGGCCTCAAGCAATCCACTAGCTCATTATGTTCATTCCAATGAACATAACTGACTTTATTGTCATTTAAGGTCATGTGGCGTGTATTACATTTTTTCCAACTCTTTTACTTGACTTGTTGTTTAGATACCTGGCGCGTGATATATCTGTTTCAACTTGTATCTTACCTAATACTAAGGATGTTATTATATTCTTATATTTGTATTCTTTGTTATCCAATATTGGATTGTTCGCATTATAATTGCGTTTATGAACATTCGTTACCAAAAGTATACTTTTATACACTAGTTTATCATCCTCTGTGTAAATAGTGTCATCGGGGATTATTTTAAAAATTAATTCGTACGTACTAGGTGTATCTTTGTACTTTACTCCATCTACGATCACAAAGTCATTTGTGTCTACATCGAAATATTTGTCACCGAGCATCGTCGTTCTCGCTGAAGTATACGTGATTGGTCGCATTTTTCTCACCACCGAGAAGCATATTTATGTACCTATTTTTGTCTAAGTGCCCCCAATTAATTATGCAACTCCTCACGAAATTGCCGCGTTTGCAAAGATTGTTTAACTAACTTTTCAAGCGGTTCATTGGGCGTTTCATAAATGTCTTCGACTGAGGGAACGTGCGAACGTTCGTGCGATAATTCGCATAGTTCAGGCGATGCATAATTGGAATTCGACTAACATTCAATCTTTTGTACATTGCTTTTTATACGACGGTGTCAATTGAAGCCATGAATTATCCATTCAGAAGTCATCACCATCATTATCATCATCATCATCATCATTATCATCAGCATGAACACCTTCATTATCTTCAGGTTTTTTTTCTTAATATTTTTATCCTTTACAATGTTAACTTCTTTTTTAATTGATTGAGATTCATCATTAGTGATATTCTCGACAATCTTTTAGAGGTTCGACGATAGGCTTAAAGTGTTTCTCCAATCTATATCTTCCTCTATTTTGCCGATTTTCACAGCGCGATACTTTTTACGAATCAAATCACTCGTCTTCGCAATTTGTTTCGCTATCATCTCGCGATCCTTGAACTCTTTGCTGTTGTCCATGTTGTACTCGAAAGAAAATATTGAATAGTTAACGTATTGACTAATCACGTTAAGGTACCGCATACTCATTAAATTCTTTTCAATATCATCCATTCGCACTGTCCTTGTTTTATTACTACGAATCCATACTTTTGTTGCCAACAGCAACGACACAGTTCACAGAAATTCTCGTAAAGCAGGGAGCACAGACTCTTGCATAACGCATAATACGTAATGCATAAGAAAATGAACCAGTCAAAGTCCTTTATTTCCTTTCTTGTCATGAAATAAAGAACTCTGATTGGTTGATTCCGCGTATAGAAATCGACAGCATGTTTCTATGCTTACGTATTTCTTTTTCAGTCTGTACTTTATTGTCGACATTAGTCACTTTAATCGTCTGCGATTTTATCGCACAAGCTTCATATCTTCTCCCTTCATGACACTGATAACATTGAAAAAACGACATGAGAGCGGATGAAGAAAAAGCTGGCGAAAAAATGAATACTACCGGTGGCAATACGCGGTGATATCTTACCTATTCTACTGCTGTTGGGAGTCTTCAGCTCATTCAGCGGTGGGGCAAGAGTCGCAAGAGCTAAACGATAATAAAGCCACGCAATGTCAGATGGAAAAATTAAAACGTCATAATCGCATCATGAAAGGTCATGGAATTTACCTCGCTCCGTACAAGCGTGGACGAGAAGTCACAACGAAAAAATATTTAAAAAAAAAGAAGTTAAACAATTGCCAAAAATGCCGAAGGATGTAATTACCAACGTATAACTGCAACACCTGGCAAAACGTATATGTATTCCAACGTATATGTATTTTAGAGGTATTTTTATGCGTACTTTACCAACAGGGGGAATGTATCGAAATGAGAGAAATATCGTAAATTTGGATAATGCTGATGGACCAAATATTCATTGGGTGGCATATGCGAAGCGGGGAGATCGTGTTGTTTACTTTGATAGTTTCGACAATCTTCGATCATTGAAGGAATTGGTGCGATATTTGGACGTAACGCAATTCAAGTATAATCCCACGCCTTATCAACATTACGATCAAACTGTGGATAACTGTGTTTACAGTTTTTACAGACAGTTAACAATCAATTTAAGAATTGACATTGCACTCTTTCAATTCAGTATTCATTCAAACATGTCACTGACATTTACGCTCACCGATAAGAGTAGCGGCTTGCTACTTTCCGACCGTAGATTTGAGCGATGGCGATTACGATCTTGGTCTGACGAACTTTGAAATCAACCATACAATGTCTAATATAAATTCATTGAATTATAAGTTTTACTTTGACGAAGATGACAAAGAAATTGTCATTCCCGAAGGATCGTATGTGACATAAACAAGTATCTAATATGTGCAATTCTACAATTTCATCCTAATGATGTTGCGAGAGAGAGAACGCTTCGCAAAGAGGATGAACAGTATCCATTGACTATTCATGCCAATAACAATACAATGAAGAATAAAATCAACGAAGAATAAATTCAAATGCGCTAATCGGATAAATTTCACCAAACCTTAGAATATTGGATCGCTTTTGATTTTCATTGAATCGCATCCTGGAGCCGCATCAGTGACACGAATCAGATAAATATCATCAACACAAATATCATTCGTATTGAATGCAACGTGATCACGGGTGCATACAGCAACAATAAATCCGTGCACACGATACATGAATTTTCACCAAGCGTGTCACCAGGACATAAGATATCGGAAAGACCGACACAGATCATTTACTTTCCGATCATCATACGAAGCGTTACAGATCTGACAATTCGCATTATGGATCAAAACGGATGATTACTCTATTTTCGTGGAGAAGAAAGATCGTTAGATTATATGTACGGAGGCGACAACGATAAAGTGATACAACAACGATAACGTGATACTTTTTCTGAAGGAACAGGCGAAATAGACTAGAGACATAATTTTTGCTAGAGGGACAACAAAAATATTCAATCGTTCAGTAGAAGGAAGCTTACTGCATCAAATGTTAAATTTTTACAATTATTGAGCTTTATTGTATGTAAATATCTGAGATGGTTGATATCTTGAATATTGGAGGTAAGTTAATCTTTGACGATCGTACTGTCAAATTCGAGTTTCATACATACAATCAATACCATGTTTGAACATAGCGAGATAAGAATGCCCCAACAGCAGGATTTATACATGCTACCGTGTGAAAGTGTTCCCTACGTCGAAAGTAGATTGACGTCAAAGGAAAAAGATCAACAAAAACAGCCAACATTTGGAAGTAATTGCGTGGCGATCATGTTTGACGAAATTCGATATGAACTCACTCATTAATGGTGCAGATTGATCGTAATAAAAATGTTGGAATAACCAATACTCTAAAGAGCTATGCATCGTTTTCAAGTGACAATACAATGATTATGCATAATGCTGAACTTATTCCGTCTAAGTATAGTGCGAAAAGTTTAATGACACCTGACGGATATTTTAACTTTTGCATGCCGCTCAGCATGTTGTTGGGCTTTTGCGAAAATTACAAACGTGTGATAATTAACATTCGTCACGAATTAAATTTTGATATGAGCAACGACAACAATTGCATTGTGGGAGATTCAGCGACTAAACCGACGCTTGAATTATACAAAATACAATGCCTCACGTTATGTTGAACGAAGTCAATAAACTATTCACGCTGTGTATCTTGGAAAGCGAACGATATCTAAGTATGAATTTCCGTTCGTGGTTTGTATGTATATTCCTTATTGTAAAACACGACAAAGCACTTGTGGGCTATCAAGACTGCGATTTAGTTAAAAAACCTAGATATGTACTAAATCTATTCTCTTTGCTCTGTAAACTGCTAAAAAAAACATCACGAAGCAACTAAAACTTACTTCGATCATTATAAATTAACCAACGTGAAATTTTATTTAAACTCTGAATTTTATTCGTGATTTTATACGATGATCTGAATCTAGATTTTGACAAATACAAAACCGCTGTCTTATATGATTTGTATGTACGTTTCCGTACGTCTCATTACCAAAATCCCCAAGAAAATCGTGAAACATTATTGAACATGAAAAACTTTCTTCACGGTTATACTCACGTTATCATTGACTGCTCGCGACAAAACGAATCCATTAAGAGCGGTACGCCATGTGATTAGAATTTGAATTCAAAGAGAATGTACAGGCGAATACTACAGTCTATAATAATACTACAGTACCTATTGTCTCATCATAGATGAGAGATCGTGTGATCGAATATAACCTAATGTCCAACGTAGTATGCAAGATTACGCATATTATCTTATTGCTGAAAGAAAAAATATCTCCCCCTCTTTTCAATTAACAAGAGATAAAAACCAAAATTCTTTACGATCGAGCACAGTCTCGAAAAGTCGTTCACTATGACTATACCAACGTTTGTGGATCTGCAAGGATTTATCGTTGAAAAGAAATTTATCGTAAAGAAAGTGGTGGTGTTGAGAAAAGGAGCTATTCTCTCTCATTATATTTTTATGTGTCCCATAGAATTTCTTGTCAAAATCAGAAAAGTATTGCGCTTCCTGGCAGAGTGCTTATCACCATGGATTGCAATGGGAAGATGAGATGATTCTGTACAGCATGGCGAAACGCCTGATTACAATGGCTGTAATTGGTGCGGAAAAGAGTGACGACAATAAGGCGTATATGTAAAAAGAGATGAAAAACGCGAATAGCTAGCTGATATACTCGATAGCGACAACTTGACGATTGAGATCTTAGATGCTGATTACGAAGATATAGATTCTTTACATAATCTAAATGTTATTAATATTATGCGATGTGTAAAACATGTTAAGAATTGTGCATTACAAAATGTATTTAAAATATACAACTGAAAAAAAAATGTATCAAATTTAAAATAAAGCATACAATTTTTTATATTATACAATATATATTGATTTCTTTCCTCCTTTCCCTGTAGTTAAAAATTAGTTAATAATAGCTGTTCAGTAGTACGATTCAATAAGCATTGGATTAATCGATAAGAACCTTGATCATTTTTGTATTTACTAAAAAAAATATTATCATAATTAGTGTTACTAGATAGTATTATTAAAATTCATAAAAATATTATCATAATTAGTTACTAAGTTGTATCATTAAAAATTCATAAAATATTTATCACATTTATTTAATTAAATCGCGTGCAAGGCGAAAAGACAACGTGGGAGAGAGCGCAACGGGAGGAACAGCGCAAATAATAAGTATAGAACTGCAATGAGTAGAAGAGAAAGAACTGCATTCAACAATGGGTAGAAAAGGATAATAAGTTACAGAGAGAACGCAACAGGTGAGAGAGAGAAGGAACGAACCCCTTCCCCTCTACCATGGATCTCGGTGACGCGCTTCCCCCTTCCTGACTCCTTCACGCACGCACGCATGCACGCAGGCAAGCACATCGTATATGTATACGCACTAAGTGAGTTAAAATCGGTGTATATATCCTTGAAAGAGTATACATATAATCATTATTTCTTGTTACGCTGTACATACCTCATAGATGGGTAGACAGATCGAATCAATGAAACCAACTTGCATCATCGGTAGTTGATCCTCTTTCTCTCGATTCATAATGTCCTACAATATGACACGCACAATATGACATGTATTCAAGAATATTTTGATTATATACAAATTATCATTGCTATTAGAGGTGTGCAAATTGAGTTCGAATTTAAATTAAATCGAATCGAATCACAGTGAATTCGATTCGATCTGAGAGAACCGGATAAGTTCGAAATTTAAAATCACTCGCCTATTTTATATTCATTTGGTCGACACCTCCCCTCCCCCTATCTCCTCCTTCCCCCTCTTCCCCCCCTCGCCTTCTCTCTCTCTCTCTTTCTCTTTCTCTTTCTCTCTCTCTCTCTCTCCCTCTCTCTCTTTCTCTCTCTCTCTCTCTCACTCTGTCTATCCTATATCTCCTGCGACCAATCTTGTATCAGCGCTTACCAATCTTCGAACAAGCGCATGCTCTTATTGGTTTACATTGAAGACAATACTATTCATTTTTTGAAATACTATTCATTTTGTTTAAGCTAATGAAACGGTCTAAAAGGTACAAATTTAGCACAACAATTTATGGCTTTAAATTAGGTTTCGAAACATTGAAAGAAACGTTTTGTATGTATAATCATTCATTTTGTTATTAACAAAAACTTTCTTACTTTTTCATTAAAAAATTATATTGTCCTAAATATAATCTTAACCAAAACTTACGACAATCTAATTCCAATTAGAATAAGTTCAGTTGGAATAACAAAAATTTTAGTTAGGACGACACAATTTCTAAATAAAAGAATAAGAAAATTTTTATTAGTCATGTGTCAACAAAATAGATGATTATATGTACTAAACATTTCTCTCAGTGCAGAACAAATTGTCACTAGTTCCTTTAAAATAATACATTACAATCGCGATTATTATTTGTTTACTTATACGTATATAAAGATTTAAGACTAATTCTATAATGTGCTTTTTGTTTTCTGTTTCTTGCTGTTTGCCTCTTGTCTTATTGACCAAAAAGACAAGAGACAAACAGAAACAAACAGCAAGAAACAGGAAACAAAGAGCATATTGTAAAATTAGCCTAAGTCTCTAATTTGTCTAATTATTATTACGTTATAATGTGATACTTTATGTACTAAAAACAGACTATAAATAAAAACTAATTTGAGAAATAATGAAGTATTTTCAATGACAATCCAGACCTCTTTAAATAAACGAAAAAACGATGAGTCATTTTCAACGTGCAGGTATTATCAAAAAGAATTGTTTTTAATACATTTGTCACATTATCAATTTTTTGACATGCACATTCAAATGAATTTTTTCAGCTTTTAAGTTTTTTTAATTGTCAGTAGATGAAAATTTGATTCGAATTCGATTCGTTTTCGAATCAGAAGGATTCGATTCGGCGTAAAGATATCAGATTCAATTCGTTTTCGAATATATTGTCTTAGATTCGATTCGATTTGATTCGACCTTGCAAATGCTTGATTCGCGCACCTCTAACTGCTACTCATGCTACTTACAATAGGTGTAATGTTGAGTGTTCGCCTTTCTATGTCGCCCTGTTCGAAAAACTCGCTACTAACGAGTTCGGCTACTCTCTTTTCAACCTCCCATGGTTTCGTAATGGCGGCTAAATCACAGACTGTCATCAACATCCCGCGTAGAAGCTCTCGATGATCACCAAATGCCCAGTTATAGCCACCACTGCGTGCTAAATTAAGAAAAGCGCCACGTTTTCTGAAGTAAACTGCCAGATCAGTAGAAAGTATCGCTTCTTCAAGAACCTTTACCACGCGCGAATATTCTTCTGGTGAAAGATTTGATAAGATTTGATTGCCCTGGCTGCTCAAAATCATCAAACACTGATCAAAGTGATGATGTTCCATTGTTGAAGTTGAATACAGCTGTGCCAACGGTGATGAAGCTCTAAAAAGCGAACAAGTATTTCATATGGATACAGAACTATTCGTAATAAGATAAAGGACATAAATGCACGTATGTGAACCCGACATTACATATACCCGACATTACATTTACCCGATATTAAGAACAAAAATTTTTTTACTACGCATTAAGCTCGGTTTATTTCCGTTTGCACAACTTCTTCCTCTGATGGTAGTACAAGTGATTTCGGAACAGCGTCCTCTTGCAAATTTAAATATCAAGATATCTCAAAGTTACTAGCATTTTTTTCAATCCTTTCCCAGTACACTATGTTGAATCAATATCTCGGAAACGTTGAATTGCAACATTGCGAAAGTTATAACAAAACAGCGAAATGTATAATCAATGTTAAAGTGACGTTGTAGAAACATCCAATGTCTGTTGAATTGAATGGCAACGTCTGTGAAACATAAAATATTTTTCACACAATAATTAATTCAATTTTATTATTAAAAGTATTATTGATTAATATCATATTCTAGAACACAAACGACAAAATTATAATTAAAAAAAAAAACTTCTCCCTTAATTGGGAATCAATCAAGTGATGCGATAGCGTCACAACGCCAAGTGCATAAAAATATGAAATGGGTCGCTTGACGGGTTACTTGACCGTTAACGTGTGAATGTCATAGCGTATATGTTCGTGCCGCTGCCAAATTCGAGACACTATCACTAACTTTATTTGGAGTTTTGATATCAACAAATTTTATATTAAAGAAACTAAAATCGCAATCAAAAAAACTAAAAAAATCAAAACACTTTTATTATATAATGTTATCGGTATCTTTCGATTCGGTATCTCTCAGTTCGAATAAAATTGGTGCAGTCAATACCGAAATCTGAAGATCGTGTTCCGAAAAGAGAGTATTTCAGCTTTTCAAATTTTTTCAATCGTGTGACACGTACCTAAAGTATTTTATTAAGCTGCTTTTTACAATCCCTTCATACAATTTTAATTTTAATATAAAATTAAAATAAAATTAGCAACGAACGTGAACCTTGATACGCATACGGGTATAATTTAAGTACATGAGACAGACAAGGAGAGAGCGAACGAGCGAGCGAACGAGAGAGAGAGAGAGGGGTGGAGGGGGAAGAGGAGGAGGAGGAGGAGGATAATAAGGGGGGAGGGGAGGGAGGATGGGGGAGGGGAGAGAAGTAGGAGACGACAACGACGACGACGACGACGACGATGATGACGTCAAGGCTGCATTTCGTTTCAAGTATTATGTACATGCTGCATTATTTATCCTTGTTATTCGCTGAATGTTATGAACAAGGATAAATGATATATTATGTGTATAATGCGTGAAATGGAACACAGCCCAAGTTTTTTCTTCACAGTAATTCATTGACAATTTTATATTAATATTTAATTTTAGTCACAGCATTCCAAGAATGGATCTGGACATGGAGAAAACCCACAAAACGCATAATCTTTATAATTTTATGTTACACTCTCATGTATCTCGCGTAATATTTGGCTAATTACATGTATTTCATATCCGTTTTTAATTAAGAAGAATGTATTTAATATCTTTTTTATGCACTTAACGTATATTTTTTCTTTTTGTAAAAAAATTTTTTTTAGAATTTCCTTATTTTCCTAAGCGGTCATCAATCCAATCTTGTACCTGATCCAACAGTACTTAGCTTTTCTAATTGTATAGGAACTGCTGCTTCAATGATCCACGAACACTAAATGTATAAAATTGTGACATTCAGATATGTATAATAGAAAAATCACTAATCAACGTCACGCTTTGGACTGATCAAATTAAAACAATATTACATGCATAAGCATTCTGTTCAATTCGCGGCTAATTCCAGTATAAACGTATATCGTTTAGAAACAAGTTTCGTTAAAAGATTAAAGTGATTTAAATTTTCTATTTACATGATATTTTATTATATTATTGTTCATTTTTTATAAAATAAAATAGATTTTGATAATTTTTTTCAATGTAATTCAATGTAATTCAATATAATTGCAACAACATTAACAATCAATACAAGAATCAATATAGATAAAACATTGATAAAATATTGATACTTCAACATTCAACATTGCAATATTTCAGTAACATTTTTTCAACGTTCTGTGCTGTATGTGTTAATTTTGAATTCTTTAAAGTACAAACGGAAAAAAGGTGATGCAAACAGTTACAAACCGAACTTAATTGAATGCGTATTAAAAAATCATTTTTTTAATGTCATGTGCCAATAGTTCTCATAAATGCGAAAGTAAATATAAGTGCTCACTTAATTTGAAAAGAATTGTTTGTTCCACGATGATCGAGATCATGACACAAACAGGCAATAATGAGGGCAAGACATTCAATTTCACCAAAGATTTTCCACCATTGCGTAGCCTAAAAACGATTATAATTCTCATTTCACAAATTACAATCTACGCTACGATCGATAAAAAAAGCTTACCGTTAAAATAGCAAACATCATTTGGGCTACGTTAAAAGCATGCCGCCAATTATGATACGTAACGTTTCGATAGTTTTTCTTTACGCTCAACAACCAACGACAAAGTACGTCATAATCGATGTGAAATCGTTCAACAAAGTCCAAATCGAGAAACATCCTGAGACACGCAGTAAGAGTGTCGCCATCTTCCATATGTATATCGTCAAATTTGAAATCGTGCAATTGAAAATGCGCTGATGACGGGACTCTTAAATTCTGTCGAAACAGAGAATACATGATAAATGTATTTAATTAATGGTTTAAATATTATATGTAGCTGAAATATACAGTGTGAAGCTGAAGCACCAACCTTCAATCTTTGCGCGTCCTCTAATGATGCTGATGCATGATAACTCAATACTTCTAAAGTGACGCTTTGTTTTGCCATCGCTATTATAGCCTTTTCATACCTAAAGATCCGATAAATTAAGTCGAATATTCGAGATAGATGAGATACACAAGTATACTCACATGTGCGTATTATGAATTCCCATTCCGCAGAAGATCGCAAATGCTTCAACAAAATTTTCATCGTTCTTTGTAAAAGGGAGATCGTCGAATTTATTAATTAGTTGAATGACGCCTATTATTTGACCGGATGAATTCTTGATGGCCATACAAAGAATTGTTCGATGCCTAAAACCGGTGCCATCGTCCACCAGTGGATCGAATCTCGGATCTTCGTAAGCATTCAATATATTGACAGTCTGAAAAATCTTTTATATCGTCTCGAGCGCTAATGCTTTACAAGAAATTATTATTAATAAGCGATACTTACTTCACCGGTAGTTGCTACATAACCCGTAATACCAACATTAATAGGAAATCTACTCTCGAAAGGACTGCAATAAAAGGATTTAATTAAATATCTAGAATAAACTTATCGAAAAAAGCTAGACGTAATTATAAACTTAATTTACCTAGTGCGAGAATCAGAATCCTCGCCAGCGAGATCATTCGCTTCGAAATCAAAAACGCGCGAGAAACTTCCCTTTGAAGCTTTGTGCACGAGCAACACCTGAAAACAATCATGACATTGTAATGAACCGAATGTTAATTGGTGAAAAACTGGTGATAGAGGATAAATTTTATCCCCCATAACCGCTTTTCACTAGTCAGCGCCTTTTTGCTCACGTAATTGCATTCTTCTTACGACGTTTGTTTATGTCAATTACCTGAACACGTTGGCATTGAATCAATGATTGCGTATGCGTGAGAATTCTAAAAACCATGTGCTCTATCGTACTTTGTTCCTCGAAAATCATTCTAGCCAAATCCAATAAAACCTGATGTTAATATTAAAATAAATTAGATCCCTCTTGTCATCACTTCGATCGGTTCGACGAAATTAACATTTACCTGATTTCTCTTCACCTCTAATTGGCTCTTTTCGTAAAGTTGAGCATTTCTTAAACCGATACCACAAAACTGTAAATAACCAGCGAAAACCTTTTCATCTTGCGCAGTAAATTGTCCTTCGCCGCCAAGCTTGTTGATCACCTGTGCCACTCCGATTACATCACCGTTGCAATCTTTAATAGGCATGCACAGCAAGGCACGCGTACGGTATCCCGTTAAAGCGTCAATTTCACAATTAAACCTCGAATCCTGAAACATTTAACGCCTATTTCTATCAATGTAGATTAATTTTAATTTTGGTTCTCTCTCTCTCTCTCTCTCTCTCTCTCTCACACACACACACACACACACACACACACACACACACACACACACACACGCTCGCTTAGACGCACGCACGCACACAATTTACTTTTCATTCTTTTCTAATTAAAATTATTTTCTAACTAATATTATTTTCTATCTAAAAAAAAATGAAGAGTTAATTAAAGAGTTAGTTGAATCGAGATTAAAATTACAAGGGCTATCTAAAAGGTAAACTCCATTTTTTAATTTTGCCGCTTCAGCAATGCAATGCACATGCATGCTAAGTTTGTTGATTCGTTGACAAAGGATTGGCGCGATTTTTAATTATTCCCAGCAAACGAGAACGGATTGGATAAATCCATCTAAATCAGATTTTCTGCGTTATCCGCGAAGAAAGTATTGAATTTTGTAAAGACTGAATACATTGAATCCTAATCTGAACAATCTTCAACTTAAAATTAATATTTCGCTTCGCGAGATGGCAAAAATTACATGGTTTATTTTTTCCGTAAAACCTTTTTTCGATTGAAAGGAATAGAAATCTCATAGTTTCAATCCCACGTCATCGATTAAAATCAATTAAAACATTGCTTATATTTGAATTGGATTGAAATGGATTTAAAAAAGTCAAAAATTTGGATTCAGCAATAACCAAACGAATCTATTTCAATCTAATTTGAATCCTTTTCCGGATACCGGGTCTTTAATCTTTGATTTTTATCCTTGTTCTTAATCTTTGTTCTGTCTATTCCTTCACCTAAATCACTAATGTATAATCTACCATCGCCAGCCCTCTTAAGAACCGGAATGCAAATACCTCCAATCATCTCATATGATTTAAGAAATCTGGTGGAATAGCGAAAGATATTTAATATCGTAAACTTTGTATAAGACACTAGCATTTTTTCATCTTTATTTTACGAATATGTTGCAAGGATTTATTCTAAATCATGAAATTAAATAATATGTAAATATTATGTAATAAAAGATCTATCAATAAGAATAAAATAAGTTGTAAGAAAAATCTGAGAAAAATGTGCTTAAAATAATGTTTATGTAATTTTTGTTCAGAGTCATCTAATCAGTTAACCTCTCTCCTACTAAGTTCTCTAGAATGAGATAGAGAGCAGATAAACACATTTTCTCTTTTTATCTTTTTCTCCTTCTCCTCTCCATGCTTCTCCTTAATAATAAATAAATTTGAAAAATAAATAGAATAAAGTGAATAAGAGAAAAAGAGAAAGAGAGAGAAAGAGAGCAGAGGAAGGGAAGGAGGTAGGGAGGAAGGGGAAGGGAGAAAGTAAATCCGAAAAAAAATCGATCAAAAACCGTAATTTTTCCGATTTTGGTTTTCTTTACTAGTAAAAAAGGATGAAACCGAAACATTTATTTGATATTTTATTAAATCGAAATCGGAATTGAACAGAAAAAATCTTTCGGTCTGCGTTCCTGGTGTCTACAATGTTTAAACAAATTGCGATGTCAGTCGCTTATGAAATATAGTCTCCGACCCGTTTTTTAAATGCGAGGAATATTAATACGGTTAAAATTCTCCGATAAATTTGTGCAATATAGGAAAACATGCAATAAGTGATTCAATGGTGCGAAGATGGATGCGATGTTTTAATAAAATGCACGAAAATATATATGACGATGAACAGAGCGGACGACCGTCTCTGGTTAATGACGATTTGATGCTTGCAGTGACGTTTTTTTGTTATGCAACCATAAGCAACATGGCTAAGGCTATCTTCGTCTTTTGATCTCTAAAAATGAAAATAGTCGTAACTATAGCTTTTGATTGGATAACGAAAAAATGCCCCAGTTAAAGAGAAAATTAATTTGAAATCCTCCCTTGCTGGCTGGCGATTTTAAAATGACGAGATCAAAGAAGCCGTCACCATGTGGTTTGCCTCACAGATGGCAATTAGGGATATAACGTCTGGTGTCTCGCTATAATAAATGCATCAACAACGGCGATTATGTAGAAAAATAGTTTAAGATATGTACTTTAAAAAAAAATAAAAATTTTCTATAAGTATATACTTGTTTTTTTTTAATAGGCCATTAGAATTTACTTTCTGAATAATCTCGTAAATTGTATTCGAAACGAGCATTAATTATTTTTAGCTCGTGCACTTCGAATTACTCTCGAAATTAATGGTAATTGAGATAGAGATAAGATCTCTACTCGTGCAACAGATAAAACAAACTTGTGCACATCTGTACATCAAAAGTGATCACATTTCAGATATAAACAAATCATGATTCATCAAGAACTTCTAATAATTAGTAATCGATGGAAAAGATGCGAAATGCATCGTTTATTAGATATAAAAGGTACAAATCAAAACAAATAAGTATAGATCGTTTGATGAAAAAATAGTTTCCATGTCTTGCCTTGTAAGCATCTGGTATGTTGACGGGTTCCCCACTTTCAGCGACGTATCCGACGATTCCGGTACCCCAGGGAATTTTAATTTCATCTTTCTTTTCCATCTCCATTAATGTCGATCTTGAACAGACATCGAATAATTTTGACACCAGACATCTGCTCCTCAAATAGGATTGATCGTTACGTTGTAGATTATTTTCGTTGTTGGAATTATTCGCGGCGACCTCGTGATTCGGAGAGGGTGGCGCATTAGTGGTGATAACGGCAGCAGCAGCAGCGGTGGCAACGGCGGTACCGCTTCTCTCTCCCTGGACAAGGAACAGCGAGCCGCGATCGGCGTGAAGAAGTGTGCTCACATTCTGCAGGATCTTGTGACACAATGATCTCACATCCAACTCATTGCAGATGTCTTTGACCTAAGAGACCTTACAGAAGTTAGATTCTTCAACATAGAGGCTAACGGTATATTCCATCGAAGAACCTACCAGCTCGAAAATAAGGTCTTTCTCGTCGAGGTGCCTAAGCTCGTGACGTGACCGTCTTTGTGGGCGATTGGAATTACCGGATCCGACCTGTGGCCCACCCGGCTGACTCGCGTCACTCATCGATACGCTCAAAAAGGTTGGCGTACCATCGATTGTGTTGACGATCGGCTTTAGAAGGCCTCCACGCTCGAACTCGTGTGCCGAGATTTTGCGTACCGGTGTCGTAGCGCCCGAGCCACCAGCACCTCGTCCAGAGGTTGAGTTGCCGGCTGCGGCATGGATTGGACTCGAAAGCTCTACGCAACTACTCGATGATGAGGTTGGCGTTGCATGTGATACCAGCCATATGTCGACGGTCTGCCGTGTCACTTTCCTATTAACCGGAAAATCGAAAACAGTAATAATATATATGTATTATACGAAGCGTTTCTTCTAACTCGATCATCTAAAATATCTCCGTTGTTTTTAATATGAGAAAATCAAAGCAGAAAGTTGTCCGATTCGGAGGGGCATGTATTACGATAAGCAAAAAATTTTTCTCAATGTCATATTTTTTGAGACCTCAAAATCACTTTTACTGTTTTAAATGGAATCGATTTTTTTACACAGTGATACCTCTAATCATTCTGAATATAAAAGTATTAAACTATATGATATAAAAAAATGATATAAAAAAACCAATAATTCACAAAACATTTTCTACCTTATTCTGGTATATATTGGTTCAAAAAGTTAATTTAATTATAACTCATAAGCTATTAATTTTTCGACTCCTAGACGAGGTAATATTTTTCATGAATTTATAGTTTTTCAGTACATTAACATCTTTCTAATAGGATGTCAGATTGAGCATCAACTTATTAAATTGCTTATCAATTTAATTTGTAATATTGCTATTGTCCAGTGGACTCCACGATTTTCTTCGTTTCGCAAACATTCGACAAAATAATCGTTAGGACAAAGCGCGAACAAAAAGAGCATTAATGGTTATTGATCGGTGAACATGACAATATAAGAAACGTGTCATTAGAAACCTTCCCAGATATTGGAAAAATAAACAAAACATACCCAGAATCACCTGATCCATGATAATAAAATTTATGACAAAGATTACAAACCATGTAAAGAAAATCCTGATTAAACACGATCGGTTTTACCAATTACAAAATCTAAATGCGGATCAGGGATCCCATATAGATAAAAACTCATATTTCCAAACGCAAGTTGAAGAGCGTTTTCTCAACAATAGAAAGTTGGTAAAATAAATGCAGGATGACAAAGCATAGCTTTTCATTTTTTGTTTCTTTTCTAAATTGTCGATCATAAAATTTAAGCAAATACTATTTAGACGAGAGAACACATGTATAAGTAATAAAAGAGAAACCGGCGATTGAAAAAAGGAAATATGAAAATTCGAGTAAATCATAACCAAATCGTTCGGAAGGAACAATGAGTAAGATCCCCTCTCTTAAAAAATGTTGAAGATTAAACTAAATCCGCCAATAAGTGATTATAAATCCAAAACCCTTAGAGAAGGTGACGTATCATGAATAAGTTTTCAAGAGATTAAAACTTGTAGTGCGGACGGAACAATTTTAGAATTAGCTCCCCAGTAATAACTCAGGAAACAAATTTTCTACCAAGAGCGGAACAATCCTATCAACCCGAATCCTCGATTTTTCAACTTAACATATCTTATCAAAGAATCACCTTCCAAAGGACTCATATATAAACCGCAAGTGACACCGCAAGACAAGCTCTCTTATTTTGTCTCTTATTTTGTCTTTTATTTTGCTCTTATTTTGCCTCTTATTTTCTCAGTCATATTTGTCAGTTTGTTGCTCATTATTTTGTCAATAGTTCAATTAGTCAGTCATACATACACGCACGGTTTCATATTATATAAATATATACAGATCTTAAATCGAAAATCTCTGAAGCTCCTGTTGCGCTTCAATACATTTGACTTAGAGTCTGTGCACAAGTGAGATCCAGAATCTCTTTGAGTCCCACTGAAATCGGACTGACGATCACCTCAAGATCATTAAAACAGTCAGGAGATAAACCGAAATAATAAGTCCTCTTTTTTCTTTATATGCACCGCGAAGCTTAATTTAACACTATTACAACATAAATTGAAAGTTCTATTCGCCCGTATAACTTACAACAGATTAATAAATATTAAACTCGGGTCAACAAATTCAACAAGCTATAATTAGGTGTAACAGAGTAAAAATTTTTATTTTCGATAATTATAATTTTCGGCGATAAGTTTTAACGGCGGTATGTTTCGACTATATTTAGTTCTTATCCGCAGAAATACATAATTATCCCACATATCAAAATTAAATTAACATATTATGAGGATCATTTCACCTTCGAGTTACAATAGATAGTGTAACGCATATTATATTTAGTCAAATTTTTCAAATAATAGATGAAGTAATGATGAGTCATAAATCCAAACCAATTCATTGATTAACAACGAGAAAGAGCAGTGTAAGTAAAAGAAGAAAATTCCAGTAGTATTATTGATGTATCTTGTCAAATTATATAAGATGTACGTACGTTCTTAATAATATTGGTAAATTGAATCAAAGCACAACAGAATATAAATAAATTACTTTCAGTTATATATAAAACAAATTAACAAATTAAATAGAATTGTACATAATTATTATGAAATAAAGAGTAAAAGATTATGCACTTACAATTTTCATGAAGGCAGATACAAATAATATACACACACACATATATATATATATATATATATATGTATATATATATATATATATATATAAATTCCTTTTGGTGTCAAGTGAGTGTAATCGAATTTTCTATTTGTTGATATAATTTGTAAAAGAAGAAGCTCATCGTGGAAACATGTGACTTGATATTTACGAACTTAAAAGATATTTAATATTTGAATGATAAATTACACTAAACAGTTGCGTTGAGCACTATTACGATGCATCCAAACTCATTCCTGTTTCAAGAAGCTAGAGCAAAATGGAATTGAACATCTATAAGTTAAAAACAATTTTATAATTAAGATAATACAATAATAAGCTTTTAAAGTATATTTTATTTACGTTTTTGTTTTAAACATTCATAACTCTTTGCTAAAAAGCACGATCGCGTTTCTCATAAAACTTCCTATAAGTATGTAATAAATACTACGAGCGCGATAATGCAAATAAAATTATTAGAGTAATTTTTGTAAAATTGAGAAATTAGACAATAATTGCGTGCCACAAGTATTTTTGTCGTAGAATTTTTTTAGTTGATCCTTTGGACTAATAAAAAAAAATAGTACGATATGAATCATTCGACAAAGTAAAATTATTTGAACTATCGAAAATCATTTATGAAAACTCTACATATTATAAATTTACAATTAAATAAAATTTTAAAATTTTAATATTATTTGAACATATAAAATGGTAGATAAAGAATTGTACATGTATAAATATTATTATAGTATATATAATTAAGTTTATTATAATAGGATTTGATTTAGAGGATGATGCAACACTCGCTCTAAAGCAATACATCCGCCCCAGCCGAGCAATCTCCGAAGACTGACAGAGATTATAAAATTTCTACTATTTATTATATTGAAATAAATTTTTTTAATTTTACATTTTCGTGTACTTACTTTTATAATATCTGAAATTCAATAAACGTATATTTAATAACAAAATAAAGGGGTGGTATAAAAAATAAACCCAGAACGCCGAAAATTTACAAGCCAATCATGTGTGGGTCTCCAGTACTCTTTAAACTTTTATACATTCTCACCTTGAGAATAACGCAAAAAAAACCCTTGCAGGCTTATCATATCTATGGACAGTTGAAATTTTTTTCAGCCTCAATCCGGGTTTTCAAATTATATTATAAAAAAATTACAGCAATGTGAAAAATTGCATAGGGTACGTTGGACCCAATAGTGATTGGCTAGAGGGAGGAGGTTAATATGTAAATTAGATTATAATAACTTAAAATTAATTTGTAATTTTTTCAATTTACAATTGTATTAATTTGTGGTTTGTAATGCGTTCGATAGACTGTTAATTTAATTTAATTTAATTTAATTTAGTTTATTGCAAAGCTATATGAAAAAGACTATATATTAACAAAGTAATAGATATAAAGTATGATATAATAAACTATAGTTAACATAAACATAAATACAATAGACAATAGTAGCTTGCAAATGGTTAGGCGTCAGCAGAATTGCTGTTACAAAGCCTACCAGTAACAAAATCAGAATAAGACAATGCAATAAGAAGTAAACTAATAGCTGAAATCATACACACACGCGCAAACACACCAATTACTCTCGTTTAAATACTGTGAGTGACGCAATGAAACGCGAGGCAGCGGAATGAAAGGAGGATAGAGAGAGAGAGAGGATTTTATTGAATTAGAAAGAGAATTAAAATATTTGACAGAGGTGTAGGAGAAAGTGGCACAGAATTTAATGGACCGATATATGAGGAAAGATAAATAATCTTGATATCTGGTGACAAGAGGGTTAAAAGAAGAATGATGCTCAGAGTTTAACTAAAGGAGACGTCGCAGATATAAAGAAGTATTGGAACGAAGGAGAGAAAATACATGACGGGTGGAGAATAAAATGTTGCCAAATCTTAAGCCAGATCTCTGGTAATACAATAAACGTCAATCTTTAGTAATTTAAATCTCTCTCTCTCTCTCTCTCTCTCTCTCTCTCTCTCTCTCTCTCTCTCGCTTAAAAATCTAAGAGTAATTTAAAAATCTCATAATCGTTACTCCTTTGCTTTTCAGAGATCGCACGTGGTCCAGTCTCGAGTTATAAGGATTGGATTCCTTGACTCGAAATTTGAACCGACGATGCACTGCTTGTTGGAAACAAGTGTAGCGTCTCTGCGAGACGTTGGCTCATATTAAGCAATAAAACGTACATTCGACTCGGAGGGTACTTGCTTCTGTGAGACAAATACCTGCGAGACAAAAGTCTAAACGTCTTTATTAGTCTCATCATTTTCATTCTTTCTCTCTCCAATCAAATTCTAAATTTAAATTTCCGAGAGTTTAGACGTAACACTATAGTAGTTTGATTGCGTTTATAATTTCGAAAAATCATTTCGGCGCGCAGTTCAAATAACTATACATTTAGTACATATAAATTCACATAAAAATTATTTAAAAGCATCTAAGATCCAGCTTCGACCGTAATAGGCATTAAATTCTTGTTGTGTGTTAACCCTCGATGATCACACTTCGTGAAAATTACGTAATGATCACACGGGACAATCTCAACATGATCTCAGTACGTTAAAATAACTGTCACAGCTTTATTTTCATAAGTATAAGATCAAAAAAAATTAG